CCCCCTCTTCCTCCTCCCCTCTTCATCATCATCACTATTCCTATTAATGTTGTTGCTTTTCTTGAGACAGGCTTGCCTGGGAAGTCACTGTGTCACCCAAGCTGGTACCAGACACATAACAATCCTTTTGCCTCGGCTCCCAAATACCAGGATTCCATGTATTAACTGCCTACCATGTCTAGCTTTGTTTTTCTAAGTTAGTGTACAAAATAATAAATTTTATTTTAGCAATTTTGGGGGTGTGGCTCTGTGTGTGGTGGGCATGGAAGGCACCCTTTTTGCCTCTAGCTCTATTTATTTGGGTTTTTCTCTTGGAGAGACTAATAGTGACTAAGGGGTTTTTTGTTTTGTTTTAGTCTTGTTTATCTTTTCAAAGAACAAAGTCCTAGTTTCTTTAATTTTTTGCATTATTCTCTTACTTTCTATTTCGTTGCTTTCTGCCATGATTCATTTTATCTCTTCCCTTCTACTGGTTTGTTCTTGTTTTTCTAAGTCCTTCGGGAAAACACATTAATAGGTTCTTTACCCAAGGTTACCAACTTTTTTTTTTCTTAGCAAAACCACATGGAAATATTATTTTATATTTACTTAAAATTATACACAGTATATGTGTTTATGTTTAGATATGTTTGTTTATATACATATATATGGTAAACATTATATACATAAAATTTTCCATCACTTATAAAGCATCCATATGATAAATATACATATATATTCATATATTACAATGACACTGGAGATATCAATGATTTTCTTTTCATTCTTTTTTAAATCAAATTGTAATTTTTACTTATTCACACAGGGGTTATAAACACAAAAAGGCAGGACGTGGGGAAGGGGATGACACCAGAGCATGGGTGTTCAGGGGGAGTACAGATACCTTTCAGAACAGGGTATCGGCTGGGTGAAGGTTCAGGGGACAGGTCACTATGACTCTGCTTATGATTCACTTGTCCTTATCTAAGTTGGTACTATCCTCCAAGGCTACCTATTTACAAGGTCTATGGCTACTCAGGCTGGTAAATTTCCACAAAAGCTGCCTGTTTACAATAGCTTATAGCCATCTGTTTCAGTGTTTTTCCACAGAGACCCCAGACTTTGTGTTAGCATGCACGTATGACAGGCCTATTGCTGATTGTAGGCCTATGGCTGATTTTAGGCCTTCAGTGTATAAGCAGGGCTGCCCCTGACATCTGATTAGCAACTTTTTAAACATAAGATTCATAATTATGTTTCATTTTCCGGAAAGATTTGTTAATTTTTATTTTTTAAAATGTATTTCTTTCTAGTAAAGTTTTGGGCCCAAATCAGGATCCAAATAAGTTTGTCAGCATTTTTGTTCCCAGGAAACAGGAAGATTCTCTAGGTTGAACCCTCTTTCTATAGATGGCCAGTTTTCCAATGAGTGCTGAAGCTTTCAAACCACACTTTGGTAGACACCTGTCATTGTTTCTAGGTCTTTCCATGGAGAGCGACTTCAAGTTCAAAGCTACAAGGAAACACAGATATAGAAACAGGCATCTAATGGTGCTTCCTCTCCCTTCTGATGTGCTTCTTTCTCTTCTCTACATGGAGAAACTGGTTCTCAAGAGCACAGGGGATAATAACAGATTAAAATTTCCACAGTTAGGGGCTGGAGAGGAGGCTCAGGGTTAAGTCAGGGGCTGGAGAGGAGGCTCAGGGTTAAGTCAGAGACTGGAGAGGAGGCTCAGGGTTAAGTCAGAGACTGGAGAGGAGGCTCAGAGTTAAGTCAGGGGCTGGAGAGGAGGCTCAGGATTAAGTTGGGGGCTGGAGAAGAGGCTCAGGATTAAGAGCCCACATTGCTCTTACAGAGGACCTAGGCTGGATTCCCAGCACCTAGCTTGAGCAGCTCATATCTGCCTTTATAAACTCCAGCTCCAGGGTATTAGACACCCTCTTCTGTCTTCTGTAGGTAACTACAGTCACATGATCATACTCACACCCAAACATACATACACATAATTCAAAACAAAATAAATATTTGAAATATCCACAACTACTCATTGTCTTCACAAAAAACACATGCATTACAGTATTACAGTCTCAATAGTTCTTTACTGCTAGTGAGAATTGTGTTTCTTATTGAATTTGACTGTCAAGGGACACTTTCCTTTTGAAAAAGATGTCATTGTGTGTGTATGTGGGTGTGGGTGTGTGCACACATGCATGCAGTACCTGAAGAGGCCAGAAGAGGGCATGATATCTCTGGGAACTAGAGTAACATATGTTGTGAGCTGCCAGACATGGGTGCTGGTAACCAAGCATGGGTCCTCTGGAAGAGCCATTCAGTGTTAACCACTATGCCATCCTTCCAGCTTCCAGAAGTGGCTTTGGGACTAACTTACCATTTTGTTTCTTATCTCTTAATTTTCATAGCCTGGAGCCTTTTCTTTTCTTTTTTTAAACTTCTGTAAAAGTCCAACTGCATATCTCTAAAGGATTCTGTTCTATTTTATCTGATATTTCTAGTTGTTTATTTTTTTGTTCCATGAATTTCTAGAAATGGAAATCCTAGCTTGTTTTTCTTATTAGCAGTGAAAATATTTAAAACTCATATGTTTCTTCTTAAGAATTGTTCTGGGAAGGTTTTAATTAACTTTTATTAGTAATGTTACATTAATCACTTAAGTATTTTTAGGGTTGTTGTATAGTATTTTCTGTGTTTTTAATTTTGCCCATTCATTTGTGCATATTAGTTAATTGTGGGTTTTATGTTAACTAACATTTCCATACATGTGTACATACATATGTGCAGACATGTGTACACACACATGTACATACATGTATATAATGCTCTTTAGTACTCTCTTCTTCCCTCTTTTAACCTCCTCTTGTGTGTCTCCTTCCTCGGCTATGGGATTTTATTCTAATATTTCTATTGCTATTTTTTATTATAGGTCTATTATGGTTTAAGTTATGCAGCCTGAAGTGTATTTAGTTTTTACAAAGAGTCTGTAGGATGTTCACTAAAATATGTGATCAGCGTGTTCTAAGAAGTGAGCCATAACTGACGGACATGACCTTATTTCTTTCTTATCCCTTATCTTAAAGTCGATTTTCCTTCTGGTCCCAGAGTCCAGATTCTTTCAAGTTCATTTGGAAGAGGTACTATTGTTAAAAGTGACATGTGACTTTAAAATTGTTACTAAAAAGTCAGGACTTGATTGGCAAAGATGGCTAACAGAAGCTAATTGGCTGTCAATTTCTCCATGTACTTAGGTGGCCAAGACATTTTTATGACAGAAGAACAGAAGAAATATTACAATGCAATGAAAAAGTTAGGAACCAAGAAGCCTCAAAAACCCATCCCAAGGCCCCTGGTGAGAGCAACTGACTCCAAGCACACATGCAAGATGCATGATCTGAGGGTTCAGGTTTCTAAAAAACCTCCTGTTAACTTTTAAAGGAAATCTTCTTTATATTGTTTTGACAGTATTTGTGTATAAGTGTGTGTGTATGTGTGTGTGTGTGTGTTTCAGGTGAGTGCAGTGCTTTCAGTGGTCAGAAGAGGACAGCAGATCCCCCAGAGCAAAAGTTTAAAGCACTCATGAGCCATCTGACCCAGATGCTAGGTCCTCTGCGAGAGTATATAGTCTTAACTACTGAGCCATCTCTCCAGACTCCAGGATCTTTAATAACTATATATGTGTTATCTTAGAACCTAAAGAACCAAGATGTACCCAAGTCCTTAGAAAATTAGACATGTATGTTCATTACAGAGAGTCTGACCAATACATTTACTTTTCTACTAATACAGAGTCTCATTAAGGGACTCTGGTGGCCTGGAACTCACTGTGTAGACCAGGCCATCTTGAACTCACAGAGACCCTCCTCCCTCTGTTTCTCATGTGCTTGAACGAAAGACATGCATCATTACACCCAACAAATATTAATCTTAAAAAATTAAAACTTTAAAAAAAGGAACCAATGTTCAACTTCTTCCCCAGTCATACTATGAAATAACCAGTTTTCAATCTTTAATAACTACTGGGCTAGGATGTTGTTTCTCTAGCCTATTTCAACTAGAATTAAACACTGGCGTTGAAGAATTATGTGGATTTCTGAGTTTTGCTGAAGTTCTGATTATTCTGAACTGGTAAATAGAACCTTGGAGGTGTCTGTTCCATTTTGCCCAAGATAAGTAGTTGTTCTAGGCATCCATCTCTTGGGTAAATGCAGATGTAGACATCTTTATACTGTTGAAGCGTATGTGAGCCGCTTTATCTCAGCCTCACCGACCATCCAACACATCAAAATTGTGTTGTTACAGGGAATCATTTTTTATTTATGTTTTTGTTTTAAAGTAGAAGTGAGAGTACAAGCCTAACCTCATAAAACAGTCACCCAGCCACAGTGGGAAGCTATGAGAATCTCTTGTTCTTTGAAGGGATCTTGTGTCTATTTCAAGGAATCGCCTCACTGTAAGAGAAAACAAATTTTGTTGTCTTTTTTTTTTTTTATTGGATGATTTATTTACATTTCCTATGTTGTCCCCTTACCCCATCCCCCACCACCCCCTCGGAACCCCCAATCCCCTCGCCCCTCCTCCTTATTCTCTGTGGATGTAACCTCTATCTACCCCCCCCCC